GGCCTGTGTGGAGAGCAGGCCCGTGGGGAGGCGGCCTGTGTGGAGAGCAGGCCCGTGGGGAGGCGGCCTGTGTGGAGAGCAGGCCCGTGGGGAGGTGGCATGCATGGGCGATGCTACTTTGGACTTGAACTTCCATTTGTACTTTACAGATCTGTTCACAGCCTGTTAATGGCACAGCAAGTGTGGATCTGCCACATCTACGTTTCTTGAGGGGACAAGTCTTTAAATTAAAAATCTTAACACCAGTCAAAATATTTAGATTAAACCTAAAGTTAATAGACCTATTAACTGATTTGTTAGTCCATTGAAATTATATTTGAAAGACTGGACAAAAAAAAAAAAAAAAACCAGACCAAACTCACACAAATTAAGCATTTTACTTTTCAATAGTTAATATATAGCAATGGGTTACCTTTTTACATGCAAACACATTTTTCTAATATGATTCCATGAAGGAAAAGCTTCATTAGTGACACACACCATTTCAAAAGAAAGAGATCTGCCCTGTGAAGAGTCAATACAAATGTAACTGGGAGCTGACCATACCCTGTTATCACAGAGCCAGAAGCTCAAAGATAAAACACTTCATATTTTTAATATAACAACCTGATTAACGCTATTAATGAAAAACAGAAAGGACTAGTGCTCATGTTATACCTTCCCTAGGGCCTGCAGCTAAGCAAAGGTATGCACTGACATCATTACTATTCTATAATTCAGGTATTACATTTTGGTTATTAAAAACGAGTAGCAAATGAGTACAGTTATGTCACATTTATGTGGAGCAAGGTAATGTCCTGCTAAGTCTCATCTTGGTTCATAAGAAAATAAAAAAGTTTATAAATATGCATTTTTATAAAAATAATACTCAAAAATTAGTTTTAGGGTGATACTCTATTGAGTGAAAGACAGTATTATGATTGAGTTTAATATATTCAATGGGGCACTCATACTGTGCCTCTTGTATGAAAGTTAATAGCTTCCTCTGTGAATATATTTCTATTTAAATATAAGGATCTTGACATTGAAGAAAACTGTATCTGTTGCTGAATCTCCTAAATGTTATCTGTATAATCTCTCTACATAGACATACACATGTATACTACATATGTGTATTCCAACCCTTTTGTATGCACACGTGTGTAGAGTGTTCAAAGATAGAATTTTAACTATATAGTCATAGTTTCTGTATGCATTTATTTACTATTTCCCAGAAAACATTTTATAGGAATTTTTCTTATACCTACAGTCTTCAAAAAGATATTATAAAATACACTGAAAGTTTGAAAAAGGATAAAAAAAATCATTTGTTATTTCAAAGTATTTACAGCATTTTGGGGCATTAATATAATATAGTTTCTACATTTCACTATTGGGGTTGTGACTCAATTTCTTCCAGGTTTCTGGAAGATAACAATTAATACTGTTATAAAACTGAGAACATTTCTATTTTTCTCTTAGATTTTATTCTCGAAGTTTTCTCTTAGAACAAATTTCTAGAGAAAAAGGAGCACGGTGTGAAAAGTTTTTCTTTAGGATCATTGTCTTGGGAAAACAT